ATAAGCGTGTACGTGTACGTATGCATAAAAATTTATATTTATTCGCTTTCAAGACGTCAAAATCGTTTGCAATTTAGTAGCTACAATTATTTACGTTATATTCGCTTTTCTGAATGTATCAAGGAGTTTACTCCTAGCAATTAATATCTGTAATTAGTAGAGCAGACATACATATCATGAATATCAAAAATGCTGCTATTATTGCAATAAATTCCAAACTGATATATATTTACTACGCATAATTTTCAAAATACATATTCAATGAAAAATCTATAAATATTTTTTACTTTTTTATCTATTAGATTCAGTTGTCAAGACGCATTATCATAACTCTGAATTAGTAAATGTTTATGCAATTTTTTTAATTAAATATAGATATTTTAAATATAGAGAAATATTATTACATATAGAGTAACATTTATATCAAATAAATGTTATATTATGCATAAAAATAACAATGATATTCATAACATCATTGATAACATATCAGGTGATGTAAAATTTAAATAAGCCACTAAGCTGACTGACATTAATTTTGATAGTAACGGGATTAATCTATTGAACAAAGGTCACAGGTTTACCATAAAATCCGCTTATTAAATTTATTGTTAATGATCATATTGTATGATCACAAATTCAATGCTAAATTCTACTATACCTTAAGAACAAGTTTGAAAGCTTTCTATTAGTGTACATATATTTACAATTTTATTCTCGCATTGAAGTTTTAAATCACTGTGATAGTTAGAGAATATATATTTAGGTTTCTTGCATGAAATTGGTCAACAGAAGTATATGAACTAATAACTGTACAATCACACAAATAGTAAAACACTACACTGATTTATTAAAGGGAAGCAAATAGATAAATTAAATAATTGCAATCTCCTGTTGTAATCTCATGTACGTTGAGCAAATATGTATGAAGCTTTATAAAAAATTGCTGAACATAAAAACCTGAATTAATCTAATGTTTACCTTGTCAAGATCGATAATAATCATAATTTTGATTGTAATAACACTAAATTATGTGATAAAAGTCGGAAATTAGAACGATTAATCAAACGGTTGTCAAATTTACTTTGATTGTATACTTCTTTTCTATTACATCACAGTTTGAGACAGAGTAGGATTCGTAAACGATCTTCGGTGCGGTATGAAACATAGATCAACTTGGTACATTGTGCCCAAGGTTTTCATGTTCTTTGCGTTGACTGGAATACATCGCCATCTGAACCTATGGCTTTCGCATCACCTCCCTTGAGTTCCTACGGAAGTGATCTATGTTGAGCATCAGTTTTATTACTTTTGATGAACGTTTAGGGGATTGCTTACACTTGCTTGTTCACCGATCATTTTTTCTGTAACAGGGACAGTTGTTATGAGCTATGATTGTTATAATTTTCTGTCAAAGTCATAATAGCTTACTTATCCAATTCCTTCGAGACATTCTACTTCCATTTTCACCCCTTTAATTTTGAATTTCGTTAAGTTAGTACCAATTTGTTCTTGAATATTGTCGTTTCTGCATCACATAGTTCTATATTTCAATTCCGGCATTGATGGGTTTCTAAGAAAGATATAGTATTAAATTGAAACGGCATTAAATTTTTGTTTTTGATATGTTAATGCTATGGAATACATTAGTTTCTCTACGTGTTTGAAAGAGAAGAGACTACTTCTCCATCAATGTAGTAGATCGTAAGAGCATTAGTACCATTTTCTGGATAAGTGAAATAGTTCTTGTATAGAATTACTTATTCGCGATTCCTTGGATTCAGAGTTTTGAATTCTTTATTTCCTATAGACGTAGTTTTTGGACCAATAATTCAACTAGGAACTTTGTTATAGGTCGTAACAAGTATGATTCCTCATAAACGCATAATTTCACAGCAATGAATGTCATTAAACTACACAGAAACACTTTCAAAAGTATGTCATATTCATCCAATTAATGACTTATTTTCGTATTGCGTATTGAAAATTGGTGTTGTGACATCAAATCTAGGGCTCAATCCGCATTCTAAGAAGTCACAGAAAAGTTGGAAACGAGTACATTATCTTTGCTTTGAACTCCACATCCTCGAAAGTCATCAAATGAGTTTCATCCCAATTTATGCAGTTTTTTTTTCAATTTATCGTTAGTGATTTATGTGGTCATATCATTTCTAAAAACAAAACATAACTGCAGAGCAGCTAAGCTGTTAAACTGCATAAATAACTAAAATCGTAAAATCGTGTTGTTTGTTTATGGAAATAAAATGGAGAAAGCGCTCTATAAAATTTACAAGGGAAAGAATTCCACCGAATACTTTTTTATAGCCCCAAAAATCAGTTAAGGCTGAGTTTTGAAATACACTAATTTAAGTTTCTGTAATTAGAGTTCTCTCGCGTTGCATCTGTCTTATTGATCAACGTATTGCTCCAAATTCTGGAATCGACAATAAACATTCGTTCTTATAATTTGCTTTTGTTCAGAGTTCTAGAGTTATTAATTCACGGGCTTGGGTATTTAAATGAACTTAAATTTCCATAACGATTCATGGCAGATTTCTGCAAGTATAAACTTGAGTTGTTTATCTTGAGTTCTTTTAGTATATCATGTTTGTGCTTGTGAAATATCAAGGTAATGGTCAATCTAATACATCTTGTCAATTAAAATGTTTTAATACCTGAAGTCTTTTTTCTGGGCAAAAGACGTAATCTGCCAACATAAGTAAGCATCAAATGTCAAAATGATGATCACGTAGATAATTATTTGAGATGTTCTAGTTAATTATAATGCAAATAAGGAATTTAGTTTTTGAAAGGTAAAGCCTTTAAAAATCAAATATCACTTAAATAGTGGCAATAGCTGTACCATTTTTATGTATTTTATGTATCTGTAGAAATGGAGTGAATCTGATCGTCTAGCGTCTTTACTAAAATGCATCGCTCGACAGGCACGTTGACCATGCGTTCTTTGAATCCTTTAACTTTCTTAAATAAACATACTTTTTGATAAACATAATGCTTATTTTATTGATGCTCTGATGCTTTCAGGTCTTTCAGGTCTCTCTCAATCCGTTGGTTGATTGATATTGATGCTATACTTTTAAAATAAACTTCACTTAATTTTTTATTTATCATGATTTATGTGGTGTAATTTTGAAAAATAAGAATAAATAACGATATACATTCATAGCTTAACAGTTAAAACCCTTATTTTGTTTCATATAATTTATTCGCATCTAAAATCGGATACTTCAATTTTTAATATTGCGATGTTGCTTGCGGTAACGAGTTATTTAAAAGGATTGCTTTTTTTACTTTTGGTTGGAATAATATTAACTATATTAATTGGAATATATTAATAAATTAAAATGTTAAACGTTTTCCTTTCTTCATGTTTATTTTATTTTTACAATTCATTCAACTCTTCCCATTAAATTTAAAACAAAAAGAATTTGAACAAAAGTTTCTACGAATTTAGAGCTTTTCTTTTAAATATCATTTTAATACTTTAATGTTTTTTTTTCAACAACGGAAACAACAAAAATAATGACTACATACAAAATTCTAATTAAACGTTCTCTAAAAACATTTTTAAAGTTTATATTACATATCCTTTTAATAATTTGTATTTCTCGAGCTTGCATATTAGTTCTTAGTCCTAAGATGACTTGAGATAATTGATTAACATAATTGTGAATTGTTTTATGTTAGCTAAAATTTCGATATCACCTTCTTGGAACTAGAAATTTACATTTAACAACCATAAGGGTAAAAATGAAAATTCCTTAACTCCCATTCCCATAGAGAAGACTCCTGCAGTGCATTTAATTACAATTCAACGTCAAGATTACGACCATTACAACGTACTGGAACTGGATATATTCGGCTATATTGCAAAATTAATGGCTGTTAAGTTATGTTGAAATGGTCTCACTTTAAATAACCGAGGCGATATGTCTCTGCCGTTTGAAAAACGTATCAATTTTCGCTTCATTGCTTCGCTCTCTACATCGAACACTCCCTCTATCGCGTTACAGTTTCTGAGAGGCGGACGCAAACTGATAAAATAATGCCATCGTGTTCGGTTCAAAGCCGATAAACGTTCTGGTCTGGTCTCTTTATCATCATTATATACGTATTTCATTATTTTTTTTATTCATTGTTTATTTTTATATTTTTTTGTGGTTGCTATGTGCTATGCTAAAATCTTCCTTTTTTTAATTCTGCGTAGTTATTTCCTCATTGAAACTTGTTGATATAGTTCACTTGTTCTCTTTGGGTTTAACGAAATGCGATCTCGTTAAATACACGCGCTTGTATATAGTAATTGGTTACAATTGTTACCAAAGAGTCACAATCGGCTCGAGATTGTAAAGCCACCACGTTCCTGAGTATTGTCCACGTGGATGCTTTTAATTCCTAATCGATTTTGCAATATGTTTTCATTGTACAAAATTCTTTCATTCTCAACAAAACTTTCAAATTGCATTTCTATTTTCAACAAAAAAAGTTGAATAAAAAGAAATAAACTACATTTTTTTGTTCATTTGAACATTTATTGAAGTTGTTTGCAAGTTTAATAACTTTAATATTATTAAATCGAAGGATAGCGTCGACGACAAATTACACATTTAACGGGGACAAGGTTTACGAGGACATCAACGCGTTTTCTCGGTCTCCCCGTAGTGTTTCGTCATCGTTTTCATAGTTTGACCGACCAAATATAATCGTTATTACGAAACTCATATTAAACGAGACGTATTTAATTAGACTGTGCACTTAATGGTCATTCACCCATTTTCTAATAAGAAATATTCCCGGAAACGATTGTATGTTTTTCGTCCGGCTGCAGAAATCGACGAAACGGGAAATTCGCCGTATTGATTTATGACGCTTCGCAAGGGTCGAATTATGAATTATTTCGTTCGACGGTGAAAATCAATTCACATTAAATTTTAAAACCGCTAAAATGAATTGAAATTATCTCTTTGTTTTTTTTCTTTCAGATTTATTACATTGTACCAATGAACCGAACGTTTCAATACCACAGTTAGCGAATTTATTGATAGAACGTTCGCAGAACACGAACTGGGTAGTAGTTTATAAGGCTTTAATCACCGTCCATAACCTAATGTGCTACGGAAACGAGGTAAGCATCCAACCTGATATTAATTACTTGACGTATCCTGGCTTTCTAATTGGTGGAAAACGCTTATTAGAGGTCTCCTCTTGCGTAATTTATGTGCAGATATTTTTTTGGTAGATATACGTGTACTTGTTTTAAAAATTCTTATCTTGTCTAATCTATAAAACAATCTTTATTTATCTAACAAATTTGTTGCGATTACTTCCACCGATATATTCGAAAATTAATTAAGAACCTTAAACATTAAATTAATAAATAGTAACTAATGGTAGGATGGATATGTAACTTATAAAATTTGTTACAAAATTCTTTCCTCAAAATTCTTTTCAAATTTTATGTTTTTCAACAAATTTTATTGGTGTTATATACGGTTATTTAGCGATCTATACGCTTATTTTAGCGACTCGTAGCTATAAAATTGACCGTTAAATCATTTTTTGATGACTCGTAAAAATATTTCAGTAATATTTGATGCAGCAAAGCTCCCTAAAGCTTTGCTAAGTCAACAAAACTTAAACAAAATTAACTAAAACTTATAAAATTAACTAAAATTCAAATTAGAGATTATTACTAAATAACAAATAATGCTTAGTCAATTGAGGAAATATACAATTTAACAAAACTTAATATTTAGTTCGAATGCGAAAACTCAATACTGCAAAATAGGGCTCAAATGTTGGGGTATTACAGATTAAGCTACAACTCTACTTACAAGGGAAGTATCAGAACTGTCCCTCACCGATTTTGTTGAAATTTGGTACAGCGATAGTATGGCCAAAAATAAGGTTTACGTATTTGTTTATACGTGCTAATAAAGCCCCTAGGGCGAGTTATAAGGGTTGGAAATCGGGGCAAAATATATATATTCGCTTATAGGCTGAAAATGAAAATAGCTATCAAAATGTGGTAAATGTAAATTGATATTCATTTTCAAAGAGCTTTCCATTGATATATCACACATATATCTGAGGGCTTCAGGGGGTAAACTACCCCTAGAACTTTGGAATATTTTAAAAACTACCCTGTCGATTTTGGCGATATTATGTGTCCTTATACTACGTTTAAAAATATTAATGACGTGTTTTTTCTTATTTGCCTCTGACCATCCCCTGCAAAGTTACGGGGTATGATAGATAACCCCTTTCCTTAAGAATAATGTGATAAACTGTTACACTTTTGAACAATATTTTGAAGAAAACCATTAATTAGATGTAAATTAAGATTTACGCAGTAAAATAAATCCTATACGACATTAAGGGGTGGCTGGGGTTAACTACCCTAACCACCCCAAAATTTTTTTTTTTGCGAAATTTGTTTGTTGATTTTGGTGCAATTTCCCACGATGATTTTTTTATAGGTTAGGTAGTACTATAGTAAGAACTTAATTTAATATTTAATATTTTCGCTAATAACTTTCATACTCCTACAGAAAATGCTTTTTTATCCTTATTCTATTTAAATAACGCAAAAGTTAGGATAACTATATAAATATTTATTAATAATGAGTTAAAAAGCAACTGAAAAAAAATGGTTAAGTATCACAAATTGTATTCTACATTGCTAGAATCCTCTGGTACGTTTGGACCGAGGGTAATAAATACAATGTTCAAAGCAGATAACATATTCGTTTTGGTATCAAAGTCTGGTAAACTGACTTCTGCTCATATGAAAAATTGGCTACAAAATGTCTATATCCCAAACACCGGACCCAAATCATTACTATTACTGGATTCATGGAGTGGCCACTGCCTTGAAATTATTAGTGAAGTAACTCCATCGGATGTTAAGTTTAAATATTTGTCTATACCTGCAGGGATAACAGGTCAAATTCAACCCCTGGATGTATTTGGTTTTAAAATATGGAAAAATTTCATTAGAAGATTTTTTGATGAAGTTATTCTCTACCAGTACGATGTCAATTTGCATCAGCGAGATATTTTAAAATTGCAATCCTTAACGCATAACCAGTTGTCTTCCCCACGATTTATTAACGTTTTTAAATACGCCTGGTTTGCATTTGGCTATATAGAGGAGAGACCAGAACAGTTTGAAAATCCTGTGGAGGTCTGCTTTTCCAATGAAAAACCTACGTGCGATATCTGTGGAGATATAGCTGTTATAACGTCTGCATAGTGTAAACAATCGTTGTGTTTAAAACATTTTTTCCATGATTTTCATAATTGCCAACAATATACTGAATAAAAAAAGTAAAAAAAAAAGAAATTAAATTAATAATGTAGAATACAATTTGTTAATAAATATTTATATAATTATCCTAATTTTTGTGTTATTTAAATAGAATAAGGATAAAAAACATTTTTCTGTAGGAGTATAAAAGTTATTAGCGAAAATATATTTTCTACCCCAAACTTCTAAACCTTGTAAGTTCTTACAATAGTGCTACCTAACGTATAAAAAAATCATCGTGGGAAATTGCACCAAAATCGACAAAAATTTTCGCAAAAAAAATTAATTTTTGGGGTGGTTAGGGTAGTTAACCCAGCCACCCCTTAATATCGTATATTGTTTATTTTACTGCGTAAATCTTAATTTACAACTAATTTATGGTTTTCTTCAAAACATTGTTCAAAAGTGTTACAGTTTATCACATTATTCTTAAGGAAAAGGGTTATCTATCATGCTCCGTAATTTTGCAGGGGATGGTCAGAGGCAAATAAGAAAAAACAAGTCATTAATATTTTTAAACTTACTATAAGGACACATAATATCGCCAAAATCGACAGGGTAGTTTTTAAAATATTCCAAAAAACTAGGGGTAGTTTACCCCCTGAAGCCCTCAGATATATGTGTGATATATCAATGGAAAGCTCTTTGAAAATGAATATAAGTTTACATTTACCACATTTCGTTAGCTATTTTCGTTTTCAGCCTATAAGCGAATATATATATTTCGCCCCGATTTCCAACCCTTATAACTCGCCCCAGGGGCTTTATTAGCACGTATAAAAAAATATGTAAACCTTATTTTTGGCCATACTATCGCTGTACCAAATTTCAACAAAATCGGTGAGGGACAGTTCTGATACTTCCCTTGTTAGTGAAGTTGCTTTAACTTCGTCGTACAGTGACTGACAAAAGTCTACATACAGCATTGAATTATGAGGTTTTTGTAAAACATAATAAGATGATAGAAAATTAGTATTACAGTGTGATTAGAGATACTATTCACAAAAAAATCAATAATAAAAATTCCACAAACAATGCAAAAACTATCACGACAAAAGTCTACATACAATGCACTTGAGTTAAAGAAATCAAGTTATAGTTGTATAAAGTAGCTGGCATTACACTTCCTTTTTGCTTAATTCAATAGGGAATACGGATCTAGTTATTAGTATTTAGTTTGTGTTTCGTTAAAATTATAAATCTAATCCGAGTAACAGTCCAGACCATCGTCAAAAATTACAATGAGACTGATTCATTCGCTAGCAAAGTTCATACAGGCCGGTCAAAGAAACTTTCTAGAAGACATATTGGCTCCATATTAAAAGAAGTGAGCAAAAACTTTTTGGAAGTGATGGTCGGGCAAAAATTTGGAGGAAACGAAACACGGCGATGGAGTTGACAAATTTGGTACCAACTGTAAAGCACGGTGGAGGTAGTGTCATGGTTAGCATCTGGTGTAGAAAACTGGCATTCATTGATGGAATTATGGATTGATATTCCAGCACGACATTGACCCCAAGTATACCGCAAACCTTATCAAACATTGGTTGCTATATTATGTACTCCTCAGTGTCCGGATTTGGGAGCTTTTGGGACGTAAGATCCGGCAGCGCAAAATCACAGATGCAAAAAACTGAAATCTGCGTTAGTTGAATCTTGGCCTGAAATAACAGCAGAAGAGACAACACACTTACTAGTAGTTGCTTCAATACCACGACGCCTGCGTGTTGTTTTAGAAGCTCATGGAGGGCCAACGAAATATTGAGTTGTAAAAACTGTCGTTACATGGACACAATAATTTATTTTTAGTTAAAAACTAAAACTGTGTACATGATTTGTTGTCATTTTCATCAGTTATCTATAACGTCAGCAACGTCAATATCAAAACTAAATGTTGTTTGTAACTTTTTCTATTTTTTTCTATTAACTACTAATGAAGTATTAAGTAATTAAATTGACACCTTACAATGATGTTGTTATTGCTTAATTGAATTAAATGATTATTTTGTTTGTGATTTACAAACGAAGTTTGAAAGGCTATAAATGTTACAGTTTTGGCCATAAGACGTAAGCACGATTAATTAGTAGTACGACAACAACAAAATTTGTTCTGACCTTACAACATTCTTACTACATTTTATATTACATTTATTAATGTTAATAACAATTTCAATGTTTATGAGAAACATGAGGTTGGTGTTGTGACCGATTTCTTCGATGTTTGAAAGACAAAGCCTTAGGGGCCCTTTGGGGCCTAAGTACTGCGTGCGTTGCTTGCCCTCCCCTTCTCTTACATACAAACCCTTATTTCTTTATAAACACATTAAAACTTTCCTTTCTTTTTAGACTTCTTTATGTTGAGAGCAAAAAATCGTAATCCGTCACATAGGTAAGATTCTCCCTATGCTTTTTGTGATATTACCTCCGGTTCTTCTTTTATAGAGATCCAAAAGGCACGAATAGTGAATATAGACATACATATAGACATGAATATAGTACATATAGACATACTTAAATGTTCTTCTGCTGTTAATGTTAAATGAAAATTACTTGATTCCATGAATGGATTTCTAATCCACTCGTTTTGTTTAGTATTAAGTGTTGGAAAATAAGATTCCAAATGTTCTCCTAAATTTGTTAAATATTTAATAATGATTGAAAGAGTTTCATTTAAGCAAGTGTTGTATACGAATGGAAACATTTCCAAATTACCTTCAACAGTTGTTCTATTTCAAATCTACATTTTTTTCTGAAATGATTTCAATTTTGTCGGTGGATGTGAGAATATTTTCTACTTTGCCTTACATGTTAGAATT